TCATTATGCAAGAAAGCAATGAGTCACTAAAATTATTCATCACATATTTTGGACATTCTATTTCTAAAACACAACAGCCATCATAAAGACAATAGCGAATTCAGTTCAATCTATTAAAGATAGAGAAAGAACTAGGTCATGCGAGGACAAATATCAAAACATTTTATTTCTGGAAAACATCTTGAAACTTTCGGCTAATTAAAAATATCCAAACTTCTACTCCATATGACTTATTTCACCTCAGAGTTGTTGTCAATCTCTAACCATAAAAAGTCTCATCAAAACACTATCCTAATGCTGATCCTACAATTTGTAGAATTATTTTATGCCATCAACTTTTATATGCAACCAACAACAACGATATACACATTGTAATCCCACAAGTGGGGTCTGGGGAGGGTAGTGGGTATGCAGACCTTACCCCACCTTGTGTAAGGTAGAGAGGTTGTTTTTTATAGACCCTCGGCTCAAAGAAAAAACAAAGCAAGTTTGAAAAAAAAACTTAGCAAAGAAGCCATGTTGAAAATACTAGAGAAAAGAAACAGTAACGACAACAAAATAATAAGATACCGACGCAAAGTAAACAACATGTAATATAAAGAAATGCAGAATAGGATAATACGAGAATAATAATAATAATAATAATAATAATAATAATAATAATAATAATAATAATAATAATAATAATAATAATAATAATATTGATATGTAGAAGGAGGAGTAGATAACGTGCTCCAAACTGTCACCATCTCTCACTCACACTCTCAAGAACGTGAGACATCGCTCCTCGACTACCTACTAACCTTCTACCCTAATACTTGACCTCCATACCCTCCTATCTAGGGTCATGTCCTCGGTAAGTTGAAGATGTGTCATGTCATGTCTAATCACCTTATCCCAATACTTATGATTAATAGATGAAGAGAATGTTAGTAATGAAGTTACAATTGTAGGGGAAGTGGCGAGGATGAGGAAGAATGGGGGGCGTAACCGTGTAATTAATAGAAGTTAATAAGTGAGTTCTTTTTTTTTTTAAATATAGCACATAAATAGATATAGACTGAAGTTTGCAAAGACCCATCGCAGCTTCCTCAATTGCTGAATAAAACACTATTGTCCTGTATGGAAAATCTCCCACTTTACTGTAATCTAACATAAATGGTTGAGAAAACCTGCAGCAATGTGTAGTTACTTCTTCTGAAAAATGATCCATAAATTGATTTCCAGGTCAAATATTTTTTTAAGAAAATAATTTCCATGAAGAACATTTATCCCTACCAATTGCTTAACTAACATAACTTTCGTGTTCCACACTTTGTATTCTTAATCCCTTTGAGTGTCAAATGTGCTATGCAAATAATATGTACATATCACCCATATTTTCAATAACTTTTGCTGGCACACTAAAAAGTCTGGTTGGACATACTTTTCCAGAATAAATTTATCTACCTAACTCATTCACTTTGTAAAATTGCATTCACAAACCATCTCCTTATTTTCAATAACTGTTGCAATCCTCCTTTCAAATCTAGTAGAATCTCAATTTTCTTCCTTGTAATTTTTCTAGCCAGCTTTGATTCAGGATCACACCTACATCTACAACTTGCAAACAAAAATAAATTCTCAAAATTGACAAAAATAGCCAAATGTATAAACTGGAAAAACACAAAAATTGGGTACCTGATGAAAGACTTGCCATTAAGGGGTTTATTATTGGTGTCATCAGAAAGGGGAAGGGGAAGGGGAGAATCTTGCACCTTAGAAGCATAAAGACCTTCACTACCACCATGGAAGAAGAATGAATTAAAACGAGGAATAAAAGCTTCATTCTTGTACTCATGGATCGACCCTTTTACTCCCATTACCCAACTGCCCACAATTAACACTAGTCCTCCAATTATCAGATCACATTTATCCTTTCTATATCTCATCTTCTTCTGGTTCAGTAGATGTGTAATCGTCGTACGTTGAATGTACAAAAAAAAAAAGGGGGTTCTTTGAGAGTTAGCGTGAAAAAGGAGGATGAATGAAGAAGAAAGTGAGAGTTAACCCCGATTAGGAGGGTGTTTGGATCGGCTTAAACTTAAAAGCAATTTTGGGCTTATTTGAGTGTTCGCTTTTGAGCCAAATACTTTTAACCTAAAATAACCTAAATAAACCAAAAGCAATAAGTTGGTGTTATTTGAGCTTTTAATTAAGTTGGCTTAAAAGCACTTTTATAGTCTTAAAAGTATTAGGCTTGAGTCTATCCAAACACTCATTTTAACTCCAAAAATATTTTTAAGTTGGTTTGACCAGCTTTTAAGCCAATTCATACCCCTCTATATTTGACCAAATAATTTACCCTACTATTCCTTTCACTTTTTCTAAACCCCAAAACTACCATTCCCTAACTAATTAAAGTGTCAGTTCTCATCACCAATTTTAATTTTATCGTTGATGCTATGTACACCAAAATTAGTCAACTTTTTTGAAGTTCTAAAAGGGGAAGTCAACGGTAGCTTTTTAAATAAATATTTAATATATTCCAATATTTTGTAAATATTATTCTTTAGCTTCTTTTTTGGTTTCATAACAGTTTTTTTTTTGTCGTTGAATCCATCCTTTGTTTAATTGCTGAAACTATATTCTAAATCAAATATTTCAATGAGTTTACATGTTACCTAAGAATCTGAAGATATGAACGAAAAAATCGCTTTTTTGGTCAAATAATTAATTATTGTATATTATTTAAAGAAATAATTTATATTTAGATAATTAATTAAAATTGAAAGTGATTTAATTATAAATTATTTGTATATGTGTTAATTTAGAATAAAATATTATAATAACATCTCTATAGTGTTAACAACTTTAAGGATATTTAGTCATTTTAACAGGAAAAAATGCTTACTAGCATTTGTTTACCAAATACTCCAACAACTTTTTTTCAGTTTCAGCACTTTTATCTAGCAACATAAGTTTTTATTTATAAAACAAGCTGTAGCACTTAAAAAATACTTTTAAGCACTTGTGCTTAAAAGTCACTTTTTTAAGTCAATCCAAACGGGCTCTAGATATCCAGTGATGAAAAAAAAAGAAAAAAAAGACTAGATATCCATCTAGTTGTTATTTTCTCACAGCAGAAAGGAGGTTATCAAGTCTAAGGGGTCATTTAGTTGGTGAGATAAGGGATAATAATCCGAAATTAGGTGGAAGACTATTTTATTTCGCGTTTGATTGAATTTTTTAATTCGTGGTTAGTTGATCCCACTATTGTGGTATTATTCTATCCCATATTGAGGGTGTGGATAATAATCCCGTAATTAGTTAATCCTCGGATAAACACTAAAATGATAAAGATGCCATTCTCCAAGGCTCTTCCATATAGTCTTTTAAAAATGTCAAGGTTAACATTTAAAAAATAAAAGTTTATCCCAACTTATCTAGTATATACAAACCTATGTTTATAGTTTATCCAGTGTATCCCATTTTTAGTCAAATAAATCAAATATTTTCCAATAAAAATATATTCACTAAATAGTCGTATTATTATTATTATTATTATTATTATTATTATTATTATTATTATTATTATGATTATGATTATTATTATTATTCTGTTAATGGTATCAGAGCCTAGGAACTTTCATGGTATATATGAGATAGATCTGAAGTATTCGGCATAGATATGTTATTTTTTGTTATGAATTTAGGAGGAACTAGTATGAAAAATACTAGATTTGAAGAGGTAGATATACCTCAAAATCTTGATTTGTTAAACAAATGGACAATTCCTAAAGTCCCTATCAAAACAATTTATGATTATGGATGGTTTGATAAACTTTCTTCAAAACAACTAGTTAAAACTACTGAGCAATCTTTAGCTTTAAACTCGTCTGAACAGATTATTCGTTTGTTAAACAAACAAGATGTAGATTTATATAAAAATCAGTATAATTATCTGCATGTTGGTATGGTTGGGCAGTAATAATTTGCATCATTCCCAAATGAATTTCACATATTGAGATTATATCCAAGCCTTTGATAAAGTGCTTTATTATAATAATGAGAGACATAAACATACCTGGTTCATAAAGGTATGTGCAAAGATATTTGCAGGTCTCATTCCTAATTGGTTCTTAAATTGGTGGTCATAACACGGCCCAACAGTCAAGATATTACCTGACCCATTTCTTATGTTATACAAAGAATGGACTAAAGTTTTGCCAGATTTGAACGAGTTATATCACGCATATCATATCTGCTATTTGAAAAAAATTGACCAAATATATTTCTTTATAGAGTTCTCTATTCCATGGATTCATAAATGGACTCCCGAGTTGGGGTTCACAGAAGAACATATTCTTTGCTTATATAGGATATTTTACCATAATTTCTGGGATAAATTAATGAAAAAGGATCCCAAGACAAAAATGTTATACGGTCAAGAATTCTTAAATTCTATTGGAGCAAAAATCCAAGAATACTCAACAGCTCCCCAGAAAGGAATAATTGATGATAGCTCAGTCAAGCATATTGCTAGAAGAATCTCTTTTGAAGAAGGAGATAAAGATGAGATGATTAATAAATATTTAGAAGAAGTAAAAAGAAACTTGCTTCAATCTACTAATCAGTATGAATGTCACGACCCGAAATTCCCACCTTCGGATCGTGATGGCGCCTAACATTTTACTTGCTAGGCAAGCCAACGTTAGAATAATATTATCCATTTTTAAAATAATTTTAAATTTATTAATAACAAAGAAACAAATGCGGAAGCAAAGTTTGAAATATAGTGAAATAATCCATCAAACAACGATGTCTAAATATCATCCCTGAATTGGTGTCACAAGTGCACGAACTTCTAGAATAAATATAAATAAAGGTCTGAATAATATAAAGTTGTCTGAAAATAAACACACAGCTAAAGTACAATAGACGGGGACTTCAAAACTGCGGACGCCATGCAGTTATACCTCAAGTCTCCTCTGATAGCTAAAATTCGAGCAAATCTATGGTACGCCGCTGGGACCAACTCCAAAATCTGCACAAGAAGTGCAGAGTGTAGTATCAGTACAACCGACCTCATGTACTGGTAAATGTTGAGCCTAACCTCGACGAAGTAGTGATGAGGCTAAGGCGGTTCACTTACATTAACCTGTACGCAATATTGATAATAACAACAAATAATATAAATAAAACAGGTAACTCATTTATAATAATTGAAACCAACCCAGCAGTCATAATCTATTATTATTTCAACCAATTCTATTGCAGCGTGCAACCCGCTCTCATAATATATTCATATTCAATTCTATTGCGGCGTGCAACCCCATCCTCCAATATTGACTTTTAATAAGTCTGTTGCGGCGTGCAACTCGATACTCCAATATTGACTTTTAATAAGTCTGTTGTGGCATGCAACCCGATCCTCCAATATTGACTTTTAATAAGTCTGTTGCGGCGTGCAACCCGATCTTCCAATATTGACTTTTAATAAGCCTGTTGCGGCGTGCAACCCGATCCTCCAATATATTTATTATAATTAATCATGTTGCGACGTGCAACCCACTCCTCCAACATTTTTATTTACCAATTCTTATAGATGAAATTTTCCCAATAAAGGTAACAATTAATATAAAATTACGAGACAACAAGCATACAATAATTATGATTTAATTATGAAGCAAACAATGACAAATAGCAAATTATTATGAAAATCAGGGAGCAATTAGGCAGTTTAATATTTATTATGCTAAATATCAAAAATCAATTAAGGCACATAATTCAAATAGCATGTAACAATTAATGCAGGAATTTAAGAATTTATATTTGCAAAAAATAAGAGAGAAACAATTATTATAATAATTAATTTATGATTAAAAATAATTTATGATTTTTCAAGTAAACAGGCAAACAATTAATTTGACGACGTATAGACACTCGTCACCTCGCCTATACGTCGTTTACATGCAATTCACATAACAAACAATTTAAGGGTTCTATTCCCTCAAGTCAAGGTTAACCCCGACACTTACCTCGCTTTGCAAATTCCAATCAATTATTCAACCACAGATTTTCCTTTTAAATTTGCCTCTGAAAGTTTCAAATCTATTCATAAATAATTCAATATATTCAATACTAATCATAGGAATTAATTCCATATGAATTTATAAATTTTCCGGATAAAAATCCAAAATTTATTAAAATATTCGGCAGTGGGACCCACGTCTCAAATCCCGGAAAAACTTACGAAATCCGAACACCTGTTTCGATATGAGTTCAACCATACCAAATTTGTCCAATTCCGATATCAAATGGACCTTCAAATCTAAATTTTTCGTTTTTGGAAAGTTTTACAAAAATTCTAATTTCTTCCATCTAAATCCGAAATAAATGATGGATATAGACATGAATTTGTGAAATATAATCACTTTATGATAAAGAACACTTACCCAGTTCAAAGTCGTGAAAATTCTCCTTGAAATCGCCTAAATTCGAGACTCAAAACTCAAAAATGAGTAAAAATGGCTAAGACCCGATTTTATGTATTCTGCCCAGCATTTTCGTATCTGCGGTGCCTGGGCTCGCACATGCGAGCTCGCATCTGCGGACAAAATATCGAACATGCGACGTCCACTTCTACGCAAAAGGGCCGCACATGCGAAGGCCGTATCTGCGATGGAAGTCTCGCTTCTGCGAGCTCGCACCTGCGGTCAAAATTCCGCAGGTGCGATTATACCACAACCCAAATTTCAGATTTTTGCTTAAGTCCAATTCTTGTTCCGATTTCAATCCGTTTCACTTTCGGGGTACTCGGGATCCCGCTCGAATATACCAACAAGTCCCGTAATATAATACGGACTGACTCGGGGTCTAAAATCACGTCAAACAACACTGAAATTACAATTCGCACCCCGATTCGAACTTTGAGTTTTAAACTTTCAATTTGCAAATCTCGTGCCAAAACATATTAAATGAATCCGGAATGACTTCAAATTTGGCACACAAGTCATAAATAATATAACGGAGCTGTTCAAATTTCCAGAATCGGATTCCGGCTCTGATATCAAAAAGTCAACCCCG